GCGGTCGTTGTCGCTGAGCCGCTTCTGGATCTCGGAAATGCGAAGATCCACAATCCTGCGAATCTCCTTGCGGGTGAGACGGTTGAAGATGACGATCGAATTGATACGGTTAAGGAACTCAGGTAAGAAGTAGTTGCGCAGAGCGTTCATGACGAGCTCGCGCGTTGTGGGATCAATCCTGCCGTCCTTGCCGTTGGGCCGAGCCAGGAACTCGGCACCCAAGTTGGAGGTCATGACGACGATGCAGTTCTTGGCATCAACCATGCGGCCTTGACCGTCAGTGATGCGACCGTCGTCCATGAGCTGAAGAAGGACAGTCAAAACCTCCTTGGCGGCCTTCTCAACCTCGTCGAACAGGAGAATCGAGAACGGCTTGCGACGGAGAGCCTCGGTAAGCTGGCCGCCAGAATCGTGTCCAACATAACCAGGAGGAGCGCCAATCATGCGGCTGAGAGAGTGACGCTCCTGGTACTCGGACATGTCGAAGCGAATCATCGACTTGGGATCGTCAAACAGGAACTCGGCAAGAGCCTTGGTGAGCAGCGTCTTACCGGTTCCCGAGGGACCGCAGAAGAGGAAGCTGGGAGGCTGGTTGGGGTTGGCGAGACCAGAGCGCTGCAAGCGGATGGCGTTGGAAACAGACTGGACTGCCTCCTTCTGGCCGACAACGATCTTGCCGAGAGCAGACTCCATATGGAGAAGCTTCTCGCGCTCGGAGGTCTTGAGTCTCGTCACCGGAATGCCGGTCCAGCGAGCGACGATCTCGTTGATTTGATCAGGACCGACCACGTCGGTGACCATGGATCCGCCCGAATCGCCGCCGTTGGCATTGAGTGCGGCATCGGCAGCTGCCTTGTCCTTCTCGAGCTTCTTGATGACTTGCTCCTGTTCGGGAATGGCGTAGTACTGAAGATCGGCAGCGCGGCCGTGGTCTCCCAGCCTGCTGGCCTCCTCTGCCTTGACGCGGAGGGCCTCCAGCTTCAATCTGGCTTCCTGAATGTCCTTGCCGCGTTGTCTCTCCCTCTCATACTTCTCGCGGAGCGGCCTCAGCTCCTCCTCGACGTTCTCTGCATCCTGTTTCGCCTGGGCGAGGCGGTTCTTGGATGCCTCATCCTTCTCACGAGTCAGGGCGTGAATCTCAATCTTGAGCTGTCTCAGGCGGCGCTCCATGGAGTCAATGATTTCTGGCTGTGACTCCCGGGCAACGCGAACTGCTGCTGCCGCTTCGTCAATGAGATCGACAGCAGAATCGGGAAGCCTACGGGAAGTAAGGTAGCGGGCTGCAAGGTTGGCCGAGGCGACAATGGCAGCATCTGCAATGTTGACACCGTGGTGCACCTCGTACTTCTCTTTGAGACCACGAAGAATCGAAATCGTCTCGGGAATAGAGGGCTCCTTGACGAGGACTTGCTGGAAACGACGCTCGAAAGCGGCATCCTTCTCGATGTACTTGCGGTACTCTGCCAACGTGGTTGCGCCAATACAGTGGAGCTGACCTCTGGCAAGCATGGGCTTGAGCAGGTTGGCGGCATCCATACCACCCTCGCCGGAGGAACCAGCACCCATGAGAAGGTGGATCTCGTCGACGAACAGGACGATCATGTCCTTGGACTCTGTGATCTCCTTGAGAACGCCCTTCATGCGCTCCTCGAACTCGCCTCTGTACTTGCTGCCGGCCACGAGGGCACCAACGTCCAGAGAAAGCAACTTGCAGGCCGCAAGGTTGTCGGGGACATCTGAATTGACGATTCGCTGCGCGAGACCCTCAACGACGGTTGTCTTGCCGACACCGGGCTCACCAATGAGCACCGGGTTGTTCTTGGTGCGGCGGGAAAGGATTCGGATGACACGGCGAATCTCCTCCTCACGACCAATGACTGGGTCCATCTTGCCTTCTCTGGCCATGGCGGTCATGTCGATGGTGAACTTGGCAAGGTTCTCGTTCTCCTCCTCTGAATCGGCATTGCGCGAGTCGACCCGCTTTGTGCCGCGGATTTGTGTTATTGCCTCCTGCACCAGCTTTGGCTTGGGGATGTTGGCCTCCTTGAGGGCGTTCTGGATTGAAACGTCCTCAGACAGCGCTGTGATGAGATGGTCGACTGCGACGTATGTGTCCTTCTGCACCTTCTGCATCTCGGCGGCCTTGCGAAGCACCGTGTTGAATGAGGGTGCCATTGAGACCTGGTCTGGTGGGGGATCTTGGCTGGGCAGACGGACGAGCGTCTTCTTGAGGGCGCGGTCGAAGAGCTGGGGGTCGCCGTGGGCGCGCTCGATGACCTGGCGGAGGAGTGTGCTTGTCGTACCAGGTGGTGCGTTTTGGAGATCTTTGCTCTGATCAGGGAGGGGATCGAGGAGTGCGACAGCCAGATGTACTGGCAGTAGCTGTGTGTGGGCATATTGTTCGGCCAGGGCCATGGCATCCTCCAAGGCCTTCTTGGCCCGGTCGGTGAACTCCATCTTTGAAGTCATCGTGAATGCGGTTGTCGCGAGACAAGTGTCTCGGGTAATGCGTTGAAGATGTGTTGTTGTGTTGTTTCAAGAGTGAAGAAAATAGAATGTCGTTTTTTTTGGGAAGCTTGTGGTGACGTCAGGCTTCGTGTAATTATTAAATGGTAACGCTGCGCTACTGGCAGGTAGATGTTTTGGGGTGTCGTTGCAATGTCTTGTGTTGCACTGATATTTCTGGAGAATCAAAAACAAAGAATTGTTTGCAGAAGGAGGACAGTGAGACGGTCAATTTAACTTGGGCACGGGTGGAGATTCTGAGAGGGAACTTGCTGCCCGAGAGAGAGAGTGAGCAGGAAGTGGGATGATGGCACAGGATGCTGCGACTGCCTTCAAGGACGATCTTGTTGGCTCCAGAAGCCCCTCGAAGCTTCAGGCTCCTGCGCGGGGTATCTCAACCTCCAATTAGAAACAGGCTTGCAGGCCAACTAAATATGGATTAGCTTTGCCCCAAATCTTGGCATGTCTTGGCTGGGCTGATGATTTCCAGGTTGTTTGCTGCCAAGTCTTGATTCTTTCAACTTCCACTGGCTCTTTGTTGAAGCTTTTCAAGATGGATTTTTGGAGCAGAATTGGAGTTGGGGTCCGTTTCCAAAAAAATGGAGCAGTTGACAAAACAGTGACGGCATGTGGAGCTCTTTGATCATTTGCATTGACAACTCACAGACGTCCGAGTTTGTTGGAGTGCTGGCATCTCCTGGCCCTTTACTGACCTCCCGCTCGTATTGAACAAGCATCGAGACGAAAAGTTTGTCTACTGTCAGAGCGCTCGTGTCTTCCGCTATCTCAACAGGTACTTATATCAGCTATGCAATTGTGACGTCCAGCAGGTAGGAAAATCTAGGTACACACTGGAAATGGGGAGAACGGTTCTGATCAATCATCAGAACCATCGCCGGCGACTACAGAGGCTACGGGGCTGTTCATGCTCTCCTGGATCCGACCACCCGCTAAGAGAATGGCGACCTCACGAAATATTCTCCGCTTCACGGAAGCTATGCGCTTAGTGTATGGCCCGTTTGATGATCTCTCCGAAGATGCAGCTCGAGTCTGGGCCGCGCCGGAAAACCCCGGCGCCGGCGGCCACCGCGGCCGTTATTTGTGGACCGACTCCTTCGGTGTCGTCAACTTCATCACTCTCTCCAAGGAAACATCATCTCCCATATACCTCACCCTCGCAAAACAGCTCGTTAAAACGGTCCACGATGTTCTCGGCAAAACCCGAGATGGGACCTCCCGTCTCCCCGGTGCTACGAAAGAAGAGCCGCTCAAAGGTGGCCTACGCATTGGCAAGGTGCACGAAACCGGCAGTGATGGAGACGGTCAATACCACCATTATCTTACACTTTGGATGTTTGCGTTGAACCGTTTGACCTTGGCAACAGGGGAAAAAGAATGGAACCAACTTGCGGTACAACTCGCCAAAGCGATCCATCCGCATTTTGTTAGCCACCAAAACGGACAAGCAACGAAGATGGTTTGGAAGAAGTCGGTTGACCTGCAGACTGCGTTGGTCCCTAGGGAGGGCCATCTAGATGCAGTGACGGGCTTTGCCGTATATAGACTCCTACAAAGGACAGCGGAGCATCTCCATGGGCCAGGGGCTTTGAGCCTTGAAATTGCGGATTATAGGGTCCTGATGGGTAAAGAGCGCGCTAATAGCGATCCTTTGGATTTGGGGATGGGGCTATGGATTTGCCATTTCTTTAGGGATGAGGATTGGGCCCGGACACTCGGGAGCCAGAGTTTAGAGGTTGCGAGAAGTGTGTTGCGCCACGAGCATGGGATTCTCGGGAGGGATGCCACTCGACGGTTGGCGTTCCGAGAGTTTGGGATGTGTTTGGGGTTGGAGTGTTTTGGAACGGACGGTGAGTTTAAAAAGGGTGCTGAGGCCGTGGTGGACTTTTGGCAAGGGTATCTTGAGAATTCGGAGGACGAGGATCTGCGACCCATTACTTTGGTGATGTACGCGGCAGCATTGATACCGGGTGGTAAGTGATTTCCAGCGGCTTTCGAGGTGAAAACATGTGACTGATGAAGAACAGCTTTCCGGGATGGGTATCTCGGGCGAGGATGACTTAGAAGTGCACGCCATGGATATGTTGAAGTTTTTTTTATTAAATTTTTTTTTATTTTTTTTTTTGGGAATTATGGGTCGACTGACACCTGATCGTCTTGAATTTATATATCTTTTACTGTCTCAAACAAAATGATTAATAGTATTCTGTTTCATTTTCTTTCCTGTCCCCCTTCAGCATCCTCTTCGGATCACCGTTTTAGTTTGTCATCAAAAGAGCGTTGCACTTGTATTTACTAATTACCTTCCGAATCGGGATTGAAAAACTTGCTGGCCTTCGCCCTCCTTGTAGTCCGCTCAAGTTCCTTCTCTCCATTGTCATCACCACTGACCAAGACTCCCATCCTTCCCTCGCCACCTGCCTGCGGACCCCACACATGGATCTAGAATCTTGTTGTGTTTTCAACAAATCAGCTCAGGGCAATTGGTCTAGGGGTATGATTTTCGCTTCGCATTCCGCAAGATGCGCCTTGTGAAAGGTCACCGGTTCGAATCCGGTATTGTCCATGCTTTTTGCCATTTTCCACCGCTTTTACCCCTTTTCTCTCCCTTCTCGACATCTGCATCATTCTATCTTACGGTTTTGATCTCATTCTCTGCCTCTCTCGTTGAGAGAACTTTTTGTGGTACTTGGAGTACTTTTCATCCCACACCATAGGTTCTTGTATATCTTTTCTAATCAATGTGCCTATGTTCTCATCATTTCCCTCGTCTGGAAGGAGGAATACATGCTTGGATATTTCAAGAACACAGGCGGGATTCTTTTTCTCCCCTTTTTCTTGCATTTAATTATCAGTGAGATTTCGGGAGCCAAATATACACCTAGGTATCCTTTTTCTTTTGGAAGGCCACAGATGGGAAAGTGGGGAACCACGGTGTGGAAACTGGGCGGGAGGGACGGTGTGCAAAGATTCTCGCTCTTTCCCTCCAACACCCGCTTTTCGTTGCGCCCGAATTTTGTCTTGATGAGAAATTCAACAATTTTTGGTGCCCATTTTGACACTTCAACTCCCCAAATCCTTCACCCAACACCCAACATCATCATCAACCCCATCCCATGTCTTGACACCATTCCCAACACCTTGTCAATTTTCTGCTCTGACTTGGAAATCGCACAAAAGCAATCGATGATGGCTCCAACACTGTCATTGAACTGGATATTTCTGTCCGGTATCGGCAGGTATTTGGCAGCCGGTTGAACTGGCCAACGCCATCCTCTCAACGGGTTCGGAAGGAACGAAACTTTATTTCAATGCCAAATATTTTCAACGAGTACCTTACCCGGATAAGCCGAAGAACTCTGTTCGCTTTTCCGTTGTTATCAGGTCAGCTCGGGTGAGCTTTTCAGGGAACACTTGACTCGGGTCTTTTCATGTTGAACAGAAAGATAGGTATGCTACCAACCGTGGGATTTTGATATAAAAGTCCCCATATCGTATTGTCCGACTCTCGTAATGCGATATCACAACTTGGAACACACTTTTGTCTTCACTTTCTTGGAATCAATCTGTCGGCAATCCCCATTCTTCATCTAATTTGAAAACTTTAATCTCGAGGGTATCGGCGGTTCGGTGGCGCGTCTTATCTGATCAGTTCTGTTTCCCACAACCCCATTTTTGGAATACCAAGTTCCAGGCTGATTCCTGGCGACCTCTTTTCACCTTTAAACCGAACATCATCGTCAAGAGCAGCGACAGTCACAGGAGATGGTGGGGAGCACGGCGATACTTCGACGAGTGGTTCTCGGTCTCGCTGTCGCCCTTGGCGTCAGCGCATGTGGTGAGGGCGATGGCCGCCACAACTGTCATTCTGGTGAGCATGTGCGCATGGTCAAGCGCATGCAGCCGGGCGCGATGGAGGCGGCGTATGGACCGACAAGACCGCTGCAATGGGGCCAATTTAATGTGTTGCATACGGTAAGATGCTCGACACTTTCATGTTCGTTGCTTATGGAATTATATTCTCTAACAGACAACGGTCGCTGGTTTAGTCTGATACCCATGGTTGGTTGTCTGGGCACATCAAGGAGAGGAACTATGGCGCCGATTGGGGTGACTATGTCTCGTTTGTCAGGGAAATGAAGGACAAGTCAAATAAGATGGGTGTAGACTTGTTGGTTGTTGACTCTGGTGCGTACTCATATTGCCTTCATTTGTGTGTTACTTGTGCTGAGGAGGTATTGTGCTGTTATATACCAGGCGATCTTCATGACGGGACTGGTCTGAGCGACAGTACGAAGCCCAACGGCGAAGTCTCGAATGAGATATTTGCCAAACAGACAGGCTATGATCTCTTAACCATAGGTATGTTCCTTTCTTGCCATGGCCAACGTAGAGATTGTGAGTGACTGGTGAGGTGCACAGGAAACCATGAGCTTTATGTCTCGGACGTAGCATATCAGACCTTTCGTAACTTTAGCAGGACATGGGACGGCAGGTACTTGACTTCGAATGTGCAGATCATGGATCCCGAGACCAAGGAGTGGGAGTATATCGGTCAAACCCACAAGTACTTTACCACTCCAAATGGTGAGCTCTCTGACGGCATCCATCGCATCATTTCTGCAGTGAACTAACATGGCCGATCATCAGGACTTCGTGTGATGGCTTTCGGCGTTCTATTTGACTTTACTGGTAAGCCTTTCTTGCCAGCAGTAGCAATTGCTTCGGAGATCAGCTACTAATCTGGATGTAGGCAACACAAACGTTGCAAAGGTTACGCCAGCTGCCGAGATGATCCAGCATCAATGGTTCTTGCAAGCGGTGAACTCATCAGATCCTATTGATGTATTTGTCATTCTGGGTCACAACCCGGCTCGCCCATCCCGAGATTCAAGCACCTTCCCAATTATTCACTCTGCTATCCGCGCCATCCACCCCAATACCCCTATCCAGATCTTTGGAGGCCACTCTCATCTTCGTGACTTTGTGGTCTATGATCAGAGCTCCACAGCCTCAGAGTCGGGACGATACTGTGAAACGCTGGGCTGGTTCTCGATGAGCGGTTTCAACTTATCCAACAGCAACTTTACCGGCTCTTCCAATCCCCAGGACACACCCAACCACCCCAACCGAACGGCAACGGTCAACTCGACCTCTCCATTTCTCTACTCACGCCGCTACCTCGACTGGAACCGACTTACCTTCGAGTATCACGCCCCCGGGAGCCAAGTGAAGCCAGGGCAACTCTCCAAGCGAACAGAACCGCATCCCAGAGGGGAAGAAGCCGCACAAGCAGGCCTTCAGGTGACGGACCACATCACCAATGAGCGTACTCGTCTCGGTTTAGGCAGAGTTCTTGGCTGCACCCCCAAAACCTTCTGGCTGAATAGCGTACCCTTCATGGCTCCGACGTCACTTTACACCTTCCTCGCAGACGCTATGAGCAAGTCCATCCTCAACAGCACCAGAGTGCAGATGCCACGTATCCATGTCTCCAACACCGGCATGGCGCGCTTTGATCTACACCGGGGACCTTTCACATTCGATGACAACTTCATTATTTCTCCCTTCCCTAGTCTGGTGATGTTTATTCCTGACGTTCAGTGGTCAAATGCCAAGGGGCTGTTGGCAAGAATGAATGCCAGAGGTGCAGGACAGGGAAAGCGCGTCGAGGATGGTATCGAAAGGAGGAGTCTAGAGACTTATCATGGATTTGACAGGAATGCGTTTGGGAAAGGAGAGAGGTGCGAGAACCCTGTAGTTGGGGAATTCGGGGCAATCAAAGAGAAAAGGGGGTCAATAAGGAAGCGGACACAGAGGGTTCTAGAGGTCGGGTACACGACTGAAGATGACTTTGGTACAGATGGTGACGACACACCACACAAAGAGGTTCCAAGGTATGACTTGCCAGATTTCTTCGAGGCGAAAGCAGGGTTTCCAGATGATAAGGAACCCGAGCTGGTGGATTTGGTGTTTAATGATTTGTGAGGATTTTTTCCTACCCCCATTCCTGAGGGGTCGAGTTAATTTGTGATTACGTAGCATCAACAACGACATAATCCTTGCCCTCGGCAATAACTACACCGCCAGAAACATTGAGCCCTATCTCTATGTCAACAACACCTTACAAAATTTCCTCGTTTCATATGTCGAAAAGTATTGGCAGATGGGAATGCCAGATTGTCCGATTCTGTCATGATTTTGATGGCCGTCGATTGTTTTTCTGGGTAGAAAGAATTATGGGTTGTATTTCTGGAAAAGGAGCTACGAGGTCAAGTTAAACGAGACGGAGGACAAAATGGGTTATGTAATTCTCTCTGTTGGTGGAATAATAATTTTAGCCAAACCTTTCCATGGCCTCCTTTTTTCTAATCGGATCCTTTCTGTTTTTTAAGCAATTCCTTTCTCATTCCGGTCGTGATGCGACCGGCCGTGCCCAGACCGAGTAGACGCTGCTTACTGGACGGTCCGTACATACATAGACCCCAAATCAATGTTTATGGCTGACACAGTAGCAAAACTGTGATATAGTTGAGGCGCTTAGCTTGGTTGTACCCGGCATGTACAACTTGAGCGTAGTCAAACACGGGAGCTCGTAAGCTCGAGGCAGACTACATCTTGACGCTGGCATTTTCAGGATGCATTGGGGGCTATGGGGCTATGTCGCTGACTAGACCGCTCTCTGGATAATTTACACGACCCCCTTAAAGTCTGTTGTGGTTCCTCTCATCAACTCTGAACTCATCAACTCCACCAGAACCCTCGAGACTCCCAAGACTTCTTCTAAGAAGTGGTCGCTGGGCGGCATTCTGGCAGCGTCGAGGGGACGACACGTGGACGTGGGAGACGCTGTGTAATTATGCTGCTTTCAGTCCTGTGCATTCTCACCATCACTGCCATTCTCAAAGCTTGCGAGGGCAAGAAACCCCGGTCCATTTTTGGAGGCATTACACTCAACGCAATCGTTTCGGTACTATCGACAATTTCGAAATCCAGCTTAATCTTCTCAGTCTCGGCCGCTATCGGACAGTTCAAACGGGATTGGTACGAAACGGAATCCCGGCGCCTCTATGACTTGGAAATCTTTGACGAAGCAAGCCGGGGCCCTCTTGGAGCAGCCAAGTTGTTGTTGTTTAGGCGACAGACCATGGCGTCGGTTGCCTCGATTGGAGATATCAATCTCATCTTGGCTCTGGTTGTTGATCCCTTTGTTCAACAGGTTGTGGGGTTCAGCAGCAAGGATATTGTCACGCAAAACCAAATGGTTGCGTGGTCAAGCACACCCCTCTCCTTATATACCTCCACAGATATCCTCGTCGAGTCAAAAGATGTATGGACTGAACGACTGACTAGGCTATCCTTTTACTTATGCGGTGATGTTTCTGGCGATTAACATTCCCATTTTGACGCGGAATTAGTTGTTGCTTTTAACGGTGTAATATGGAATGACGTAGAAATATATGACCGTCGAGCGCATTGTCTGTCGGGTAATTGCCAGTTTGAAGACTTACCGACCTTCGGATTCTGTGTGGATACTGGAATTGCGACCGAGCTAGATGCAATCGA